TCTAAATGTTTTTCTGTTCATGTATTTATTTATGTTCTAGCATTATTATTTACTATGTAATTTTAGGTGGCCAGTCTTGTTACTGTGTTTGCCTTCGATACATCTCTTTTTTTGTTTCTTTTCTTTTTGTCACATTTTATAGTATGTATTGTAAAGTTTATTAATAATACTAATAATAGTACAGGGATTTTGGCCAAATTTCATCAAAAATAAAAAGTACAGAATTTTTTTACTTTTATGACGTTTTCTAATACACATACATGTTCTGATGCTGTGTAGAAAGTTTGAGCTGATTCCAATCAAATTTGGATTTTTTATGAATTTTTAAAAGTTAAAAACCATATATGACATGATGCTACATGATATACATGCATATGCACAGTACATGTACTTGCATGCTGCATGTTTAGTCCACTTAGCATAGACTTTGCCAAAGGGAGGATTCCCCCTCTTCTTCTAGTAATTGTTGATGTTATTTATTCATTTATTTATTTATTGCTATTAATTTTTTGGCAAAACATGCTCTGTTTGTTTATTTATATTAGCATCAAAAGCCAAAAGGAATTATCATTTATGATCTGACAACAATTAACCTCCCCACTCTCTCTCTCTCCTCTCTCTCCCACCTTCATCCTTTTTTTCCCTCCCTCTCCCCTTCTCTCCCTCCCTCCCTCTCTCCATCTCTCTCTCTCCTTCTTTCTCTCTTCTTTCCAATCATATTACACTTACAATGTAAGTATTATAATACAGACCACCTCTCATTCTAGCTAGTAGGGGGAACATCAAATCCTTAAAACAGACCTAAAAATATCAAACAAACAAAATAAATTAAACTATCATTAAGAAGCTATAGAAATGGCTTTAACGCCCACACACAATTAGATAAATATCTAAAATTATAACATAACTCTTTTCCCGGCAAAGTCTGCCAATTTCATCAGTGGATTAGAAGTAAATGCAGACCAAGTCTCAATGAATAAATCTCTGTATATCGAATAAGACTAACAATAAGAGTAAAAATATTAAAAATCAATTTATAAAATCATACAGTGTCCCAAAATATGATGTTTATATCATCATCAAAGGACCCGTTGATGTGCTGCGATGCGTATAAATTGAAAAAATCACAATAATGATGATAAAGATTAATACCTTTAGAAAGAGAGAGAGAGAGAGGTATAGATCAAAGTGAGACGGAGTAAGAAGAATATCATAATATTGACATATAATAGTGCTACATGTAACAAATACCTTCAAAAGTAATGAGGACATACATAATATGTACATGTACATTTACTGATGTACATGTACATACATACATATATACATGTCCATATAAAAGTACATGTACATGTACATGTACATACATGCATAAATTCATACCAGCATCAAG